GGCAAAAAGTGCTGCTTTCAACTCTGGATCCGCCGCTGCGAAAGTCGCGCCTCCCGACGACGCTTTCGACATGTCGCTCTGCTCATCCAGCGGCCGATGGACGCCGCGCCCTCGCCGCGCCCCGTGACCCCGACCCGACACGACGCGGACGCGGCGGCGACGAAGAAACGAGAAACCGAGAGAGAGACAAAAGTGGCGCTCGACTGCGTGACCGCCGCCGTTCCTCATTGCGACCCGGCGCGAGGCTAGACGCGGCTAAACGGCAGGGAGGCTGACGGCTCGTCATTGTGTTGGCTAAACGCGGCGGCTGGCGGCTGCGGCACTCGCCCGGATTTTGTCCGAGTCAACGCGGCGACGGAGACGAGGCGCTCGAGGGACCAAACTTCGTCACCGAGTTTGCCTCGTCTCGTCCGAGAGTTCGCGCGCCAAATCGGACCTTCGACGGCCTCGTCGATTCGGCCTGCCCTCTCTCTCTCTCTCTCTCTCTCTCTCTCTCTCTCTCTCTCTCTCTCTCTCTCTCTCTCTCTCTCTCTCTCTCTCTCTCTCGCACCCTTACGCGATGACCCATGAGTGCGAGAGAGACAGAGTGACGAAAGCAGCGCTCGGAATCAGTCAGCAGGCCGGGCCGGCCGAAGCGCCGAGGCCACGGGACGCGCTGATTTGAACCCGGCCGCTTTGCAAGTTGCACAGTTTGCAATTAGGCTTGGGTCCTCAAAGCCGCGGCTGGTGCCGAAACGGCGCGCCTGTCTCTCTCGCGCCTGTGCGGCGCGGCCCCCGAGTGCGAGAGAGACGGAGCGAGGGCTGATGAAAGGGGCCGGAGGAGTCCGTTGTCCGTTGGGAATCAGGGCAGTGTTTGTTTGACTGCGCGGCGCGGCCGGTGACGTCGGCGCGGCGCGGTCGGCGCGGTGAAGGGTGCAGCGCGTGGGGCAAAGGTCACGGCGGCGCGGCGCGGCGAGGCGCACGCACGTCTGCAGATCCAGAACAAGCCCGGATTAGCGGGCGTGAAATCGGGCAGAAGACGCCCACGCCCGAGTTCCTCGTTGAGCCGAAGGGCAGTCTCTCTCGCACCTCTGCGGGGCACCCCGTGAGTGCGAGAGAGATGGAACCAGCCGGCAGGCCGCTGCTGCAGCTTGGCGCGGTCGCGCTTAATTTCGCAAGTCGGATTTCCATCGGCGTCGCCGGGAATCGAACCCGCACCCTCCTCGCGCTTCGCGGTGCGTGGTGATGCAAGCCGGGCGACGCCTCTCGGGTACCCGCGGGCCCCGCCGCCGAGCCGCCGCGTCCGCGGGGGCGATCGCATGACTCGCGGGGACGGACCGCCGGCAGGAGAGGAGTTCCCAAACAACGAGACAGAAACGGGAAGCAGACAAAAGCGCGAAAAAAGTGCCAATTAGAAATGAGGACACTAACTGCATCGCGGACGTCCCTTCGTTGTCACGCTCGCGCCATGCTCGGGCGGTTAGCGGGCCGCCTTCCCTTGGCTTCGCGATGCACAGTGGGCCAGAAGACCGGTGGAGGCGGCCAAAACTCCAGGCGCGTTTTGAGCTCCAGAGTCGCTGAGTGGGACTAGAACCGAACGTGTGACCCCACCAATGGACTCCTCGTTCGGAGAGCAATCCATTGGTGGGGTCACACGTTCGGTTCGAGCCCCCTTTAGCGACTCTGGAGCTCAAAACGCGTCTAGAGTTTTGGCCGCCCCCGCCGGTCTTCTGGCCCACTGTGCGATGCTGCGTTGCTTCGCGTCCGAGGAGAGGGACTGCCGATTCGGCGCGGCGAGGCAGGCGAGGGCGTGGTGGTCTTCACGTTGCACGGCAGCGTGCGGCAGCGGGGTCGGCGGGGTCGGCGGGGTCGGCGCATCACATAACCACCGCGCACATCCTTTTACTAATTACTGCAAGACCGAGCCGAGCAAGGCGTGTCGGATTCGGCGGCAGGTTTGGCTGGATCTGCTTCGCCGTGTTAGGGGCCAAAGTGGTGGCCAGGGGGCGGGCACCGGCGCCTTGCACCCAGCGCTCAGTCCCTGTTTGTGAGTGAGTGTGTGTGTGTGCGTGTGCGCGCGGAGGGGAGTGCTGCACAGTGCAAGAGCAATGAAAGGGAGGTCATGTCTGTGATTGGCCTCCATGTAGCACATCGCGCGTCGCGACGCGTCCAGCGAAAGGCGGGCAACTGTGGAAGAGGCACCGTCGCGGGGATAAAGACCTCCTCTAGAGTGCAGGCACGCCTCCACGCGCGCCTCCGCGCAACCGGGCCCTACAACACTGATTCCGAGAGTCGTTTTCGTCACTCTGTCTCTCTCGCACTCATAGGGCGCCCTTAGAGGTGCGAGAGAGACTGAGCGATTAGTGGGCGGTCCTACGAGATGGAGACGGTCATTGCGAAGGCCGAGCCGAGGGCAAGGCTCCACTATCCGTCGCTTTGCCGCCACAGCGGCGCAGCCTCCAGAACGACGCCAGCCTCCAGGACGACGGCGGCCTCCCGCGCGCGTCACTGCCGCCCCAGATTTTAATTTAAACAGCGCGTCACCGCGACCACCTGCCGCCTACCCCCGGGACGCCGTCGTGCCGTCTCTCTCGCTCTCGCAGGCCCGCGGCATGCCCGCGGTGGGTGCGACAAGGATGGCGCTCTCCGCGCGCCTCGTCGCGGTGGTCGCGGTCATCAGCGGAACCGGACGCGTCCTAGCCGTCCTGACCGTCCTGGCGCGGTGAGCAGGAAGGATTGACGGAGGGAACTGCATTAAAGTTATCAGCCGTTATGAAAGAGACAGCTCCGCCACACTACGCGCCACTGGTAGCAGGGAGACCTTTCACAAGTAGCAGCACTGCTCGGGAGGTCTGGACTTGAAAACGGAATTGCTTTGACGTAACTCTGTGCATACCGGGTGCGAATGTGAAGTGTTAAGTCCGCCGCGCAGCTGCCGGGCGGGTTTCGACCGCTTGGCTAAAACCATACCCGCCGACTTCGCCGCCGTGCCCTGTCACCCCTCTGTTAACCGTCGGCGCCGGAGTTACGAGAATCGACTACTACACATGACAGATCTTTTCTGGCTCATTTTTAGCGCATTTCTGCCGCAAGCGGGCCCGGCCTTCCTTTTACCTTTCGCTGCAGCCGCGATGGAGGAAGAGATCCATGCCCAAGTCCGACATTGTGCCCCAGAATACACAAGTGTGCGTCCAATCGGTCGCCTCCTCTCGCCACTCGCTCCGTATACAGAGTTACTGCCTCCAGGTCGCCTTCGGGCCGTCGGCACACCTGGGGGCGGCCTGCCGTCTAGACTGCAATAATTGCCGTTGATTGAAGGTGTGGCCGCGGTGCAACATCGCGGTCGTCAAACTTTGTCGGCCCGGCGACGCCGACGACGTTTGAATGTCCCGCCGCGGCGCCGCGCGTTATGCAACCGGGCTGTCCACGCGTCCACACGCCGGCGGATATGTATGGGCGGCCGGCTGCAGTCGTCTCTCTCTCTCTCGCTTGCGCTCACGGGGGGTTGCGTGTGGGTGCGAGAGAGACAGCGACGACACGCCGGACTGGGCAAGTGTCGAGGGCGGGTACCTGCTTCAAGGAAGGAGCGAAACGCGGTATGCGAGTTGGTGCCTGATTCCGAACAGATGGCGCTGCCTCTCTCTCTCTCTCTCTCTCTCTCTCTCTCTCTCTCTCTCTCTCTCTCTCTCTCTCTCTCTTGCACGGATGCGAGAGAGACAGAGCAACGGCACTCTCGAACTAAATCGCTTTGCAGCCTGGGGGGGCTGGAAACGCCAGCAAACGCCATCAGAGGATGCAGGAAGGAGTTCAGCCCCAGCCAGGAGCAGTCCACGCCACCGCGAGCACGGCGTGGCCCGGCGCCAGGATTTATCAAACTGCAGTCGAGCCCAGTGTACCCACCGACTCCGGCAAGGCTCCAGCCACGCACGAGTAGGCGCATCGGGATGTCACTCCATGGCCACGTGGTCCTTGCTCTCTCTCTCTCTCTCTCTCTCTCTCTCTCTCTCTCTCTCTCTCTCTCTCTCTGTGGTGTGTGTCTGTGCGGGTACTGTTGTGTGAGAGTGAGATGCATGCAGCGGCGATGCGGCGACGCGGCACCCCCTCCAGGATTAGGACCTTGCTGCAGATGACTGGATAACTGCGCCGCAGCAGCAGGGAGCCTCCGCCGGCGGCCGTTAGAGGTGGTCGTCGGTCAGGTGGCCTCCCCCTTTTCCAGTGCGTCCAACTCCCCGGCGCGCGATGAGCCGATGCAGTGCTGCCATTTCGCAACGCTAAAGTGCGCTCCGTTCGTCGGGAGGGCTTCTGTGCGCGGCTTGTGCTTGGCGGCGGACTCGGACGTCGGACGCACCGGCCATGCGTCACGCGGCGCTCCGTCTCTCTCGCACTCGTGGGGCGAGACGGGCGCGACGCAGGGGTGCGAGCGAGACAGAAGACAGGCTTGCGCGGCAACTGCCGTTGGGTCAGCGTAGCCGTGATTTTTCTAGTTTACTGGCGTGCATCCACAAGGCGGGAGCGCGGCATGGCCGTAAAACAAACATCGCCGACGGTCGCGCTGTCTCACGTAGTAGCGTGGAGTAGCGCGGCGGCGGCATGGAATGAGTCGCCGGTTTGATTTACGGGGTGTGACCGACGACCGGCAGCAACAGTCGCTGTCTCTCTCGCACTCGCGGGCCGTCCCGTGTGGGTGCGAGAGAGACAGAGCGAAGAAAACGACTCTCGGAGTCAGACTGCAGCAACGCCGCGGGGAGGCGCCAGCGCCGGCCTCTTTCGCTACAACCCCCGTCTACCCCTCCGATTCCTTCGGCCCTAGCACACGCTTTTCTTTGGGTGCATGCGACTGATTTCCTGGCGCAGCGGTCCCTTCCCGCCCCTCACCTCTAAGTGAAAGGCTAAGGTTAGGGACGGAGGCACACTCACGCCCCTTCGCCGTAAAATCAGTAGCTGATGACGGTCTTTTAACGCCCTGTTCTTCCTAGCACAGCTCTCTGACCACGCCTCTGACCCTGGTCGTCTTGTTGCAGCACAAGCGGCAGATCTTCCGCGAGCAGGTGAACCCGCACACGGGCGGCAAGATCCCCGAGGACGCGTTCCGCGCCGACCGCCTGGCCCTCAACAAGCTGCAGCAGGCGGGCTTCTCGGTGCCCGACGGCGTGGGGCTGCAGTGGCGCGGACACGGCCACAACTCGGCGGCGCAGCACCACGGGCACGGGCCGCACGGCCACCCCGACGGCCACAGCTACGCGCAGGACCCGCACGCCACCGTCATCAAGGTGCTGCAGACGGACGACGGCCGCTACGTGCCGCCCGAGGGGCAGGTCTCGGGCCAGAACACGGTCAGTACACTGGACAATGTCTTTCTGCTTCCACCCGCCTGGAAGCTGGACAGCAAGTCGCACTTTGCCCCTGTAGGCAACGATTGCGGCATCACTCCCCTTAACGCGTCTCTGGATCCGCCCTTGAGAAATATAGATAGGTTTTATTTTTCTGTACTTTCCTTCAAGAAATAACGCAATTTTCAGACGAGGCTGGCCGGCCGGACTTTTTGCCGCGATTACCGGGATTCGGTCTGTCCATTTTACAGCGCGGCCGCTCGTTTTTCGCCCCCATTTTTTTCGCACTCCCGCGCCTCCACTGCAAACACCGCAACGCCGGTGCGGCGCCACGATCCGCTCCGCCCTCGGCCAGCGCGGCCAGCGCGGCCAGGCGAAGCGAGGCCCTCACGCTGGACCGCTTAATCATCTGGATGCGTTGCCTGTCTAAACGGAGCGGCCAGCGGGCTGGACCCGAACAGTGCTCCGTCGCTCTGCCTCTCTCGCACCCATCCGGGGCGGCCCGTGAGAGCGAGAGAGACAGGCCGACAACAGCGCCGCTCGGAATCGGCCCGCGGCACGCCGAATAACATCCATGACGCAAAGGGCGTCGGTCGTGTCGTTGCGAATCGCGTCGTGGCGCCCGAACGCACGACGCCCTGGCCGCCCCCCCCGCGGCCCCCCGGCCACGCCCCGAGCCCCAAGCCCGAACGGCGAATACACCTTTCCACCATTTCTTGGCGCCGGCGGACCGATCCCGAGAGTCGTTTTCGTCGACCTGCCTCTCTCGCACTCGTGGGGCGTCCCGTATGGGTGCGAGAGAGACAGAGCGGCGAATAAAGGACTTTCGGAATGGGCCTGTACTGCAGGGCGGCGCTACGCTGGAAGTGCTGGAACGCCTTGCCGCGCCGCGCGGTCACACCGCCGCCTTCACCGCCCGCGTCTCGCGTTTTGCTTTTTTTTGCGCTCATCAGACGCCTCCCTTCTCCCTTTCTCGCGTGGCGTGTGCCGTTCTCTCGTCGACTCGCCTCCCCCCCCCCCCCCCCCCCCCCCGGCCTGACGACGGCCTAGTCCCAGTCCCGCCGCACGTGGCCCACGATGAGCAGACATGCACGGAGCAAACCGAATTTATTTTCTTTCAAATTTCTATCTTTTTTTTGGCAGTGTTGATGTTTGGCGTCAAAAAGAGTGTCTCCAAAGAGGGTGCGCTTGCTATTGCTAGCTATCGCCGGGGGCGGCGGCGCGGCCGGGGCCTAATTGTAGGTGTCGCCATCGGAGGCCTGCCTGGCTTTGCCTGGCCCTGCCGGCCCGGCCATTACTTCGCCGACGGGCACGTTAAACTTCTCGTTAAAGCCGCCGGCCGCTCTGTTTTGTCACCGCGGCCTTGATCGCCGCGGATCGCGATCGCCGCGGATGGTGCGCGTCACAGGCTGCTCGTCGTCGGCCAGCACGGCCAGCACGGCCTCGTGTGGGACCCTAACGGAGCGCCTGTGAGGTAGGCAGGCCCGCCGCGTCGCCGTGTGGTGCGGGCGTGCCTACACTGCATTACCATTACCATTGGTGGAGGCTCGTAGCTCCCTCTTGCGCCTACACTGCGGGCGTTCCGGCTGATGGTCGTGTTCCTCCCCGTGCCCCAGGTGGACTCGACGTACCTGCTGCGCACGCCGGCGGGCTGGAACCAGCACGCGTCGCACCTGGTGGGGCTGCAGCGGCCGCTGGGTCCGCCACTGCAGTTGCCCGGGGCGGGGGGCGCGTCCGGGCCTCCGCGACGGCCCTTCAACCCCCAGCCCAGCCTCCACGCCCACCAGGCCGAGCCGTCGCCGTCACCGCCACCCCCGCCGCCGCCGCCACCGCCGCCCCCGCAGGTGCACGCCCGCCCCCAGCAGGACGACGTGAACCTCTCGCCGTTCCCGTCGGCCGCCCTGCAGCCGCCGCCCAACGTGCCGCCGCCATCGCTGTACCACCACAAGCTGCACCCCCTGGAGGTGCCGCACCCCCCGCAGCGGCTGGCACCCTCGCCGTCGGCGTCCCCCACCCCGCCGCCGCTGCCGTCGCTACCGCCGCTGCCGCGCAAGTTCCACCACCTGGGAGCGCCGCACCACCACCTCGGCCACTCCCTGGCCTCCCTCATCGACATCGAGGCCCAGCACCCCCCGAGCCGCGACCTGTTCGGCCCCAGCCTCAGCTTCCACAGCTTGTCAGAGGTAACCCGATCCGAGTCCGCTTAGCGATTATCTGCTGTGCGAAATCGAACTCCAGTTCGCTGCACTGGCAACAGAAACACAACAGAGTCCTGAGGGACGAGTCCTCGTAACGTTGTAACTCCAAAACAACACTAACACCGCCCTTTTTTGTACTTTTTTTTGCAGTCGTCTCACAACGACGCCGCACTCCTGGGCGACTCTCCGTCGTTCTTGCTGGACGATGACTGGGCGTCCGAGCTGCCAGGTAAAACAGCAGGGATGCCCTTCTCCAGCGCGTGCGGCCGGCCGTGCGCGTTGCACAGTGCGTGACGTCACGACACGCGTGTGTTGTTGTTGTTGTTGCTGCTGCTGACCGCGCGCCCTTTAGCTAGATGTTGCCACAAATATCGGGCGCCTCATCCCACGCGTGCTCCTGCTCCTTCTTGCAGGCGGACTGCTGAGCCCGGAGCAACTGGCCGCTCTGTACAACAGCGACCACGAGGAGCGGCTGCAGCACCTCCACGCGCTGGCCTCCTTCTAGCGGGGCCGGCTGGACGGGACGCCCCGCCGCAGCATGGCCGCAGGGCGGCAGAGCCACCTTGGTTGCCTTGGCGACGTGCCCGGTGTGATACGGTTGCCATCCTCCGCGAAACGGCGGCTCGGTATGCTACGGTTGCCATCTTCCAACGGCGAGAGTCAAATGGGGCGCGCGTGGAGAACTGAGTTTACGCGCATTCGAAAACTCGGCACTGCAAAAACTGAAAACTAATCGGGCAAGTCGTTGTCCCTGGAAGGCCGACGCCTCCCTGACGACACCGGGAGGCGGTCTTAAGCCACCGCCACCAGAAGAAGCGACTCGGTGACCTCCTTATCCAGAGCCGGGGACGACGGGGGCGACCTCCACCAAGGCCACGCCGCCGGACAGCGGGGAGGCTGTGTCCAGCCACGAGACAACAACGGCGTCCGTTAGTTTTGTTTCTTTGATGCAGATTGTTAAAAAGCAACAAAAAGCCGACTGTGCTCGAGGAGCCTGGTGCGCACCGGTCCCGCCCGGAGGCAGGCAACCCAACGTGCAGCCCCGCAGCGCTGCGCCGGCCGCGTAGGCAGCCCAACCTACTCGCCCGCTTCACGACTAGCTCCGAGTCTAGGCGGTCTAGGCCTCGTGTAGCTTCTAGGGCCCATTAGGCTGACACGCGCGTTTAGATATTGATTCCAAACTAGAAAAAAATCGTCATTTTATCGAGAAGAGTTAAATTGAAAGTTTGTGCTTGTTTGTTTGTTGTGTTTTACGTGTCTGATTAAAATTATTGTTCAATTTGCTTTCGGCCTATCCGCCGGAAAGTTTACTGAGGAATGTTAATGTCAAGATGTGACATACTATGTTGACAGTGTCATTTGTTTTGTTGTTATGTATCATAAAGCCATAGTGTGAATCTGTTGTGTGAACTTGGAACGCCGTAGGTACGGGTCAGTTGAGTGAATGAGAGAGTCATTCTTACTTCATCATGTTGGACTTGCCACATTCGTACACGAATCGCCGGCATATTCTTGCTTCTTGTTCCTTCCTTCGTAGTTGTTGATCATCTTTCATGTGAATCTCGAGTAGGAATATCTGAAAAAGCGATATGTGAAAATACTTGTTTTGTATTTTATTTAAATCATGTCCAAGTCGCATATTTAGAATTTCTTCATTTTCGAGGTATAGTCCCCGTTATCAAAAGTTCATCAACACACACACACGCACTCAATAAATTAAATACACTATCTACAAGCTCGTGAGGTCGTCAGGATCCCCCCGGTTGGGTCGGATCTCTAGGTTCGTCGGGCCGAAATGTTTTTCAAAAAGTAATGACGCGTCGTGAGAGTAACTCTGTCGAAAACGCAGTGGTGTCGGGCTTAGAAGGCGGCGTGCTGGTACTGCTGGTACTGCTGGTACTTCTCGGCCTGCTCCTGGTAGCGCCCGGACTCCTGGACGGCGGCGGCGTATGCTCCGGCCTCGATGTCGGCGATCTGCTCGGGGGTCTTGGGCTTCGGGTAGTACGGGTTCTTGTCGGGGTCGGCGTTGTAGCTGCAACGCGTTCAACACGGTCAAGACACGTTGGCCAACAGACATAAACAGCAAGACAACACGGGACAGAACATCACCTCCACAAGCTGCGGGCCTGCCTGCAGTCCACGTTGTACCACCAGTCGCAGTTGAAGTCGTACTGGTTGAAGAGGGTGCCGTTGGGGCACAGGAAGGACGCGCCCTGGTCGCCCTCGCGGCCGTCGTGGCAGACGTGGTAAGCCTGGCGAAGAGGTGAGAAGTCATTGCCGTGAGAAATCCAAGCAGAATGGTTCCAGCCAAAGGCCGGTCTTTTTCCGGGGCAGTTCGGTCGTACCTGGCAGCCGGTCTCCTCGTTGGCGTACATGCCGGGGACGACGGGCACGTCGTGGCACGAGAAGTGCGTGGCGGGGACCTCGTGGTAGGCGGGGTAGTCGATGCCCGCGCGCCCGGGGATCTTCTGCTCGGCCTGGTGGGCGCGCTTGGCGGCGCGGAAGGCCTCCTTCTCCTCCTCGCTGAGCTTCCTGGTGAGCTGCACGGGCACGGCGGGGCCCTGGTGGAAGCCGCGGTACACCTGCCTCTTCTGCCGAGAGCCAAGCAACAAAAGGACAAAGTTATTTTCGGGCTTCTCTTCCCCGTCGCCTGCTTTTACTTTCAAAGGAAGGGTGACGGTCACCAACTTTGCGCCAAGACTGTTCCCGAACCAAGGCGAGAAATCGCACTACGTGAAAAAGGGAAGCTAAAGGATGGTCCAAAGAGCAGCCACCCGTTGAGGGAGTACGATTTGCCGCCTTGGACTGGACGGAGTAGCCGCCAAAAGTGAGACAGAGCGAACGACTGCAATGCGTGACCGGCGCGTGCGGCGTGCGCCATGCCCGCAGTATGTCGGGCCGCCTGCTGCAACGCGCTTCCTCCACGCACCGCACATCGAGCCACACATCGCGCATCGCACACATTCCGTTTCAGGTCCTCGGAAGCTGTCGAGGACGGACTTTCCCACATTCTGACGGGCAGACGGGCGGACGGGGCGACGGCCGACGGACGGAAGAAGAAGAAGAAGGCTCTGTTGTTGTTCGCGCCATAACAACACTCGCTGACCAGCCGATCCAGGAGCGCGGCCCGCGCGCGCAATGTGTTCCACCCCCTCCCTTCCCTCCCCGCGACCGTCCGACGGTCCACCACACCGCCGCTGTTTCGAAATGACGCATACGCCACCGCGGTGTGCGCCTTGCAGTGCCTCGCAGTGCCTTGCAGCAGCAGCAGCCACGCTCTAGTGGAACGAGCCGGTGCCTTATACATACCCGACCCGCACTGCACCACTACACTACACTACATTGCGAAAAAAAGTCCGTAGTTTCGCACGGAAATTGGCAGGCGACGTGCGGCCAGTCATAGCGTTCCGTGGGGGTGCGAGAGAGACAGAGCGACGAAGCGATTCGTGGGAATCGTCGCGCGGCGCCACGGCAGGCGACACTTTGAGGAGGTTCGGAGACCTCAGCGAGCGTCCGTCCGCGCCTTTTCGTTTTCTCTGGAACTAGAAGTGAAACCGGTAATGTGTTACCGTTGCCATGGTAACCGACGGCCGTAAAGTCCAGGACGGCCTTGCGGGGAGGTCGCTGGAGTCCAGCGGCTGGACCAGTGTGCCCCCTGCCCCTGCCCCTCCGCCCCCCGCATCGCCCTCGCCGCGGGCCTTGCAGTCACTCATTACACTGTATCGCACCGGGCGGGCTGAGAAGTTGCAGGTCACCGGGAACCACTTACTGGAACGACCTGCCAGCACACTGCTTGTGCCGGAACGACCTGGCAGCACACTGCTTGGGCCGGAACGACCTGGCAGCACACTGCTTGGGCCGGAACGACCTGGCAGCACACTGCTTGGGCCGGAACGACCTGGCAGCACACTGCTTGGGCCGGAACGACCTGGCAGCACACTGCTTGGGCCGGAACGACCTGCACGTGTCTAGAGTATGAACTTGGGAACGAAGTTGGAACAAGTGCAGTTCACAATGCGACCGGAACCACCAAGAGATGTCTCATGGAGCTAGCATGAGCCGCGTCCGGAACAACCCGTGCGGCTCGAGCCGACCGGAACGACTCCACTTGATCCACCGCCGCGCCCGGTCGACATTTGATAGGCCCGCCGCGAGGTGACACTTCCTCGGCATTAAGTCACGGCGTTACGTCACCGCCACTGTTCGGCCCTGCTCCTCGCCCCGCTCCGCCCGGTCGTCTTCCTCGCCGTCGTCAACACGTCACTCTCACTGCACCCGTGCGTCAAAGTCACTGGCGGTCGGACTGCACCTGCCGCGCCTCCACCTCGCTCTGTCTCTCTCGCACCTCTGCGGGACGCCGCATGAGTGCGAGAGAGACAGAGCGACGAAACGGTCCGCCGGAATCAGGTGGCTGTCGGGGCGGAAAAATATTGGATTTTGGCGCGTGCTTCCGGTGATCTCGTCGCTCTATCTCTCTTTCCGAGAGAGACAGAGCGCGCTGCTGGCCACGCGCCAGTGTGCGCCGATCTGGCCCGCGAGTGCGAGAGCGTGCGAGAGGCTTGCTTGCGACACGCGGTCCAATGGATTTGGGCCGGCCGGCTATGGCCAATCTGATCCGTGCGAGGCGGCGAGGCGGTGCAGGCCGCGCAGGGAAAGAAAGGCGTTGCCGGCGTGCTGCTGGACAGGCTGGCCTGGCCCGCGTGCGCGCCGTGCAGGCCCGCGAGGCCCACAAGCAGGCCAAGGTCGCCGACGGCGACGGCCCGGACCGCAGCGGCAGTGCAGTGGCCGCGCAGTCGTGCCGCCGGGCCGCGGGTTCGAGTCTCGCCAGGGGCGCGCGCCTTTTTTTCTTCCGACCGACTTCCCCCTTCGTCCTCTCGACAGTCTCTGTCTCCCTCGCGCTCGTAGGCGTCCGGTGCACAGTGGGCCAGAAGCCGGTGGAGGCGGCCAAAACTCAGGACGCGTTTTGAGCTCCAGAGTCGCTAAATGGGACTCGAACCGAACGTGTGACCCCACCAACGGATTGCTCTCCGAACGAGGAATCCATTGGTGGGGTCACACGTTCGGTTCGAGGCCTTTTTGGAGCTCAAAACGCGTCGAGAGTTTTGGCCGCCTCCACCGGCTTCTGGCCCACTGTCCGGTGCAGGTGCAAGAGAGACAGAGCGACGCGAGTTCACTCTGCGTACCGTGGCTTGTCGCGCAGCACATCCAGGGCAATGGCCGTCGCCAAGTCGCTGCAAAAACCGAAAAACCGCAGGTATTCGAGCCGCGATCTCAAGCTGCTGCTGGCGTTTGGCGGCGTCCTTGCAGTGCGGCTGCGAACGGCCGCGAGGCCCGCACCCAAGGTGTGGGAACGGCCAGCGGGCACCAACGGGGCAAGGTTCACACTCCGGCGGCACTCACTCGGCTGGGGCTGGCGCGTATTGCCATTGCCAGTGAAAGGGAAAAGGGACTTGCCCTGCCGCGGAACGGCGCCCCGCGGCCAATCGCCTTGTTATCGCTTCCTCGCCGACCAATCAGGAGGCGGCCTGGATTTATGAGTGGCGAATGCGAACATGGGAGCGCAAAAAAACGACTGCCTTTTTGCGAGCAGCCTTGACCTTTCGGTTTGGGCGGCCCGGGGACGACCCGGGACGTGCGGTGGGCCGACGGCGACACTCGCTTATCTCTGTCTCTCTCGCACTCACAGGCAGTACTGGAGGGTGCGAGAGAGACACGCGGCAGCCCTATTCCGGTGCGCGGACTGGCGGACTCGAGTACGCAATCGCGCAGTGCGCCGCGAGCACTCCACCGCACTCCATGATTAATTCTTACGTCAACAGGAGCCCTCCGTCGTCCCGGCCCATCCCGCCGATTCCGGCCGCATTCGCAAAGCACCAATCAAACTGCAGCCTTTTAGGCCAGCGCAGCCAAACAAGGCTCAAATGGAGCAACGGCTTAGGTGCGCGCAGCACAGCACCAGACTGAGTCCTTTTCGTCGACCTGTCTCGCTCGCACTCGCGGGTCGTCCCACGCGGGTGCGAGCGAGACAGAGCGACGAAAGCGACTCTCGGTCCTGCAGGCTGCACTCGATGTAGGCCGCCAGCGCGCTGCAGCGCGCCGCGGCGACAATCTGCATATTGATGAACCTCTCGCTGGTTTGCCACCACTGCCGAGACAGCCATCGACTCCCGGCAAAGAGCGATGCCACCATTCGGGGTTCACTCGTCGGGCGTTCGCCGCCCACTTCTTGCCCGTCCGGGCTTCACTCGGTTCTCTGCGACGCCGTCGGCCTGCTTCGCGCCTTTTCGCGCTTCGCGGCGGACGCGCGGACGCGGTGGATGACGACACACTGCAGCGCGTGACCCTCCACCTGCACTTTGCAGCCGCCGCGTGGATGGAACGTAAATTGCACCGCATGACACATAAATACACTCACACTCACTCGCTCTCACATACATAAACACTTGCACGTATTCGCACGCACGCACTGTCACTCTCGATGGCGAGATTGACACTCACACTGTCGCGCACCAGCACCCCTCACACTAACTTGCTCATACACACACACGCACACCTACGCACACACACACGCGCGCACACACCTTAATCTGGGCGGCGGCGGTCTCGCCGGAGAGGCAGTAGACGACGGCGGCGAGGAGCGCGAGGGCGCAGGCCACCCTGGTGGCGTTGGTCATGGCGGCGCGGTGCTCCTTGTCCAAGAGCCAGGGAACGAATCCCGGCAGCAGCCAGTGCAGGCCCCTGGCCGCCCCAACCCGCTGCCCCCGCCAGGTCCCCGTCAACCCCCACCCGCCCTCGCGAGCCAGGCCCCTCCAGACTCCAGCAAGCCCCGCGGGCCTCAAGCCCCGCCGCCACGCCGCCACGCCCGGTCCAGCACCGTCCAGCACCCCATATGACCCCCCTTCTGTTCTTGTTCTTCCATGGCGACCACTCCCCCCTCCAACTTGGCGGCTGCCCAGGCTGCCCAGGCTGCCCAGCAGCCGCGCTGCAGGGATACTTTCACTATTAACAAACCCGATGGGACGGGCACGCGGCACGCGTTATGCGAACTCGCGTAATCCATGGGATAATCCCTCCGTACGCATGTCCGTTCGGGAAGCGGCCGTTCTGGGACGCGAGCGTAATGAGCATGAATGGGCGGCGGCAGATTGATTCCGAGAGTCGTTTTGTCGCTCTGCCTCTGTCGCGCGCATGGGGCGCCCCATGGACACAAGAGAGACAGAGCGACGAAAGCGACTCTCGGAATCTGTCTGCTGAGCGGGAAGGAGTGGCGGGAGGGGAAGCAGTGACGATCTCAAACCGCGCGCCAAGTGAACAAGCTCCCCCTATCCGCGGCATCTGGTCATTCCACGTGACAACAGTGGACCCCCTTCTGGTCTTTCCTTGCCTTACAGGACTCGAAATTCGGTATGCGAAGATGCTGCTTATCTTCGGGAGGAGGACCTCTGACATTTCAGGCTTCAGTCGTCGAACCTCACGTCAAGGCCAAGGTGGACAGGGACCCACCTGTCGCTGCTGAGTAGCCCCTCTGGCGCAGAGCGGTCTCTGGGAGGCTAATCGAATTTTGTTCAATGAACAATGCTCGTTTGCAGTCACTGGCGCTACAGTGCTCCGAATGGCCATCAAGTGGAGTGGGGATGAATCGTGGCTCTGGACAGTTCTGCGAGTGGTTTGAAACGTCCGCCTCTCCCCTAGGGACTTCTGACGCGGTGCAGCCAACTGTCCTGAACGGAAATTTTTTAGTAAAATGCGACTGTTTTACACTTTCGTTTTCAGTTGGATCGAGTATAATGCCTTCGTTCCTTCCGGTGTCGTTTCCTATTTTGTTGGACTTTTGTGGATTGAAATTTAAAACATGGTCTAAAAATATAAGTGTTGCTTGTTGTGGCATCCTGTTTATTTACATTTTAGTGCGGGAAGCTGGAAGCAGACGAACTCTTCGGAAGGGGTTTTCTTCACAGACGAAAGAGGCTTCTTTCACTGGCAAAACAGAAGAAAACTTCTACGGAAGGAGTTATCGGTTCAAATGGAGGCCGGATTGCCATCCAAGGAAAAACACTTATGCTACAACACACTTGTGTGTCTACTCATGACACTGAAAGGTCAACAGACAACAGTGGACCTCAGAAATGGAGCATCAGTAACAGGAAAAATTGTTCGGTGTGACCCGTAAGTGTTTACCTTAATAGCATGAGCAACAAAGAGTAAATGAACAGTTGAAGAATGGTTGGCCAATTTGGATTTTTTCCAAGAGCTACACTCTGTTGCCAGCATGAGCTACTAGGTTATGACACATAAGAAAATACCAATTTATGTTGTAATTTTTATCACAGGTATATGAACGTAGATATGTCTCATGTTCTGTTTCGAGATGCCAGTGGCAAACCTCACCTTTTTGATAACTTTTTTGTGCATGCACGGAATTTACGATACGTGCATATTCCGCCACATGTAAGTACTGAATGAGCAGCGATTTCACCTTTGAAGACTTTGTGACTAATCTGTATTGTTATTGTGTTTCTCAGATAGATATGTTAAAGTCTGTTGAAACATTTGTGAATCGTTCCCAAGTCAAACAAGACAAGCAAGTTGTTAAACCTAAAACATTGCGAAGACAGGCAGAAACTGTGGAACGTGTTCGAAAACTTAAAGAGAAACGGCAGATGAAGAAAGAAGAATCGTAGATGTGTTAATGTATGTATAGTTCAGAGGTGGAAGAAAATTAATCAATCGGAATTTCATAACATTATTATATTGATGCTTTTCAAAATCTAGTGTAAAATTGATGCAGATATATGTTTACTACAAAATAACAGATTCCCATGCAAGACTTAGTATACAGGTATGCATTGGAGGGATAATTTTATATGTATTGTCACAAGTTGAAAGTTCAGACTTAAAATTACACCTGGGTGATACAATTTACATTGTGTGTTGTAATTCATGGCCCCAACACGCCCTTTTCCTCTCAGTCAAGAAAAAACAATGATTGATAAAGGACTTAGCAGATCTCTTAAGAAAATCATTAGATTTTGTTAAATATACAGTGTATGAAAATAACAGTTGATGTATCACAATGAAACATGGAAGACAGAGAAAATGAATCAACTACAGTATTATCAATGAAGAAGTAGAAGGATGGTAACCCTTAAAACCATATGCAAAAGCAAAGGAAAGATCAATAAAACCGTTCTGAAAAACATAAATAATTAAAAAAACAGTAATAGCAATCTTAGTCTAATGACAAGTGACCAGCTCAATTCTTAGAATAAATAGAAATGATAATACTTTAACACATGATATTGAGTATGGCACAAATGTGTGCTTAGAGAAACTATGCACCTGTGAATTTGGGTAATTCTACAAGACAAAAATAATACAGACAGAAAGTAGAGGATGATAGGTGAAAAATAAATTACATAATATCTAACAATATTAGGTAGCTGGTAATCTCATTCAGATGCACTTTTGAGCTGAAGTCATTACAGAAAATACAGTCTACATACAACTTAACAATAAAATTATTACAGGGGACAAGAAATCCAAATGGCAAAAGTTCCTTTCAGTAAGATTTGTAAAAATACTTCTACATTTCAGGAAAAGGGGATTAAATTTCCCAACGGTCAATAAAATTTGATATATGATAACAACAGGGCCCATGGTAACTGATATTTCATAGATCAGTGTTTTTAACAATTTTTTTTACACCTTTATGCATAATAGTCTTGACTCGAATAATAGATCTGAGCCTATAGACATTCTACAGCCATACTCACCCCAATGCCTCCACCAACGCACAAGGCAGCTACACCCTTTTTGCCTCCAGTTCGCTTGAGAGCATGGAGCAGTGTCACTAGAACTCGAGCTCCTGCAATTGAAAAAGAAAGGTTTCACATGATGTGTTCTATGAGCATACATTAGTATTACCAATAGGAAAAAAAATTACCTGATGCTCCAATAGGGTGTCCAAGAGAGATAGCTCCCCCTTGAATGTTGACCTTAGATGGGTTGAGTTTCAGCTCCTTCAGCACAGCTAAACTTTGGGCAGCAAATGCCTCATTCAGTTCCCATAGGTCTACCTCATCTTTAGTCCATCCAGCTTTCTTCAGCTGTCAACAGAAATAACCAATAGATAGTAAAAGTTTCAAGACACACAATGTGACTCTTCCTTATTAATTAAAAAAACACAAAAAAACAACACATTGTTACCAGAGCATTTACTGCAGGCACAGGTCCTATACCCATGATTGCTGGGTCACACCCAGCTTGAGCATAGGCAATTATTTTTGCCAGTACAGGCGAACCTCGCTTAAGAGCTTCTTCCTTGGACATTAGCACCAAAGCGGCGGCCCCATCGTTGATTCCAGATGCATTTCCTGCAGTAACAGTGCCATCCTGAAATAGGGTGCAATATTTTCCTCATAGCTATACAGTGCGTTAGTTCAGTAAAGTGTCATTTTCTGAAGTCCAAACCTTTTTGAAAACTGCTCGCAGCTTGGTCAAAGCCTCAATAGAGACATCTTTCTGGGGAAATTCATCTTGAGATATTGAAACTAGTTGAGCATTGCGGCCGGGTCCTTTGACACTCACAGGAACTATTTCGGCTTTGAAGAATCCTGCCTCAGTTGCCTTTTGCACTCGTTTCTGTGATTCACATGCATATGCATCTTGATCTTCACGTGAAATATCGTATTTGGTTGCCAAGTTTTCAGCTGTTAGAGTATTCATTGGTTAAATTAAAAAGCTAAAAAAAAATATATAAATTTTTTAAAAGTGTTGTCATAATATTTATTATATACCTGTAACTCCCATGTGAATATTGTGGAATACATCCGTCAACCCATCTAAAATCATGGAATCCTTCAATTGCGTATCTCCCATCTTCACACCAGCTCGTAGAAAGGACACATGAGGGGCCCGAGTCATGGATTCCTGCCCACCACACACAACCACATTGGAATCCCCACTTCGGATAGCTTGGTAAGCAGAAGCCACAGCTCTGAAAAATTACCAAATGGTATGAGTAACACAAAATCACAAGATACAAGCAGAGTTGATTTCTAAACGATGGACATACTTTAACCCTGATCCACACAACATTGAAATAATGTGAGCAGTAGCACTTTGCGGAATGCCAGCTTTGATTAAGGTGTTGCGAGCTGGATTCTGGCCTTGGCCTGCAGTCAAGGCCTGACCCATAATCACCTCGCAGACATCCTCAGGTGAAATTTTTGCTCGAGCAACAGCCTCTTTTACTGCAACACTTCCCAGCTCGTGGGCTGGGACGTCTGTAAATGCTCCCATAAACGAACCTGCAAGTAGATGAAAGGTGTGAAAAAAGAGGCAGTGTATGAAGGATTTATGAATCAATTCATGGCAACACCCTGGGAGGTCATCAAAAAAATTAGGAGAAAGTTAACTTTCTCTTTTGTGAGTCATAACATTGAATGAAAAATTATTCTTTTCTGTTCAGTGAACAGAATGGGAAAACTCGGGAAACTTAAAATGCAATTAAGTACCAGGGGAAATTTTCATAGGAGTGCTTTTAATAGTGGAAAATTCAAAATAAGGGGAATCCATTCCCAGTAGGGAGGCAGGAGAGGTTACGTTTGTGATGAAACAGGATGGGATGAATTGTTTGTCCAAGGTATTCTAATGAAACGTAACTTTATATCCAATTTTGATGGACAGACCAAAGAGAAATGCGACATGTCATTTAACAAAACAGGAAAACATGATGAAACACAGTGCAAGCTGAGGTTACCGACCACTAAAAAGGTGGTGGACAAGGCAAATTCAAGAGAGCATCCCTGAGAAGTGGGAGCCCTGCGACGTACCGATCGGGGTGCGCACGGCAGACACAATGTACACTTCCTTTTCAGTCATTTTTCAAGCTAAGTCCTGGAAAACTTGGCGGAGAATGTGTCGTCTGCAGCAGCTCAGCTGTTGTGGTGACGACGACGCGTCGCTCCGTGATCCGATGCTCGACTGTTCAATTTCTTCTCCTTGTTGTTTTTTACCCAGAGTCCTCAGTGACTGGTGCTAAGATGGCCGACGCCAGGGACCCCGTAGCTGAGACACCGGAAAATACAGGTAAAAGTGACGTCTTTGCCACCGCTGGATTACTTTCTCATTTCGCAGAACCATTATTTCACCCGTGTTCATCTTATTACTGTGGTAGTTTGCGTGTGAGGCCTGTATGTTCCGAGAAATTTGGGTTTGAATTCTCTTCTGGTGCTGGCAGGTTTTTGCCCAGGCCCATACATGGTTTTAACTTTTATCAATTTAAAGCTCGGGGCTTCCTATTCTGTCTGACAGCAGTTCAATGTCGGTGTTGTCCTTATAATTTCCTCAAAAATATCCTCGGGCCTGACTTATGGCGTCGTCACACAATATTGCCAGTCTTTGTGGGGGTCGTGAGCAAGCAGAAGACTAGCAGTAATGGGAGGCCTAAGTACAAGTATACTGTACTCTTGGCCTATTAAAGTTTTGTCCTCCAGCAAAATCGCAGTTTAAACATATTGTTGGTGCTTTTTTCATTCTGTCAAGCAAACATTGTTTTGGTTACTATCTGTCATCACTTTGAGTATGACACTTTCCCATATATATGGCTCAACTTTGTTGATGTTTTGTCATCACCCCAATATATCTTCTTCCACCACCCTTCTAGTAAATTGTTTGTATTTCCTAAATTTGAATTTCCTTATAAGTAGGAAAAACTTATTCATAAAATATTTACCATATTCAAATTTTATAAATTTTGCCATGTTGTGTTTGACAGTCAGCTGCTAGTGTTTTATAAATTGTAGATTACTCGCAAAATTTCATTATTAAGAGGGGCTATTATTGTTACCTCTGTCTGTGTCACAATTAAATATTTTTAACCACCATGTGATAGTGACTCAATTTTTTATATGTGTGTGTTAGTGTGTGTGCTGTCAATTGTGACCTCTCCATTTTTCGGTCATGTGTCGATAACAGAATGACAGTACCAGTTGTAACTTTTTACTCAGTGGCATTAAGTACTTTATAATCCATTTTTATGCCTTTTTCCTTTTCAACTATGAACTTTGACTTATTACTATTTTGAGCTTACGTACCAGGGCTGCTACATTGTGACGAGTCATGTCGGACCAGACCGCAAAGACCCAGTAAACCTGGACAGGCCTTTTGCACCGACCATATGTGGTTTTCTTTGACCTCCCTTTAATTTCACTCACCGTGAAATGAATGGCCCGTTAGACGGAAGGGTCCTGCTTGCTTGGCCTGGGGCTGCTGGCTGACGGCATGCACTGCAGTGTGGGTCCGCGTGCGCCCAAAAGAAGTCGAGTGAAGCTGCAAAGACCAAAGGCGACAGATTGAACCTGCAAGGAGCCTCAGGACTACCGGCATGGGGGTCGAGGGGAGGGGGACGGGAAGGGGAGAGGAGGGTCCAAAGGGCGACGGCGAGGCGAGGGGAAGGGGGAGCAGGAGTGGAGAGTCCCGACGAAACGAACCGGGGTGTGATGTGACGAGACCGGCGAGACACGATGCGTCGCGAGACCAACGCCCCCTGCCACGCCCGCCCCCCCGCCCGCCCGCCCCGCCCCGCCCCCGCCCCGCCCCGCCGCCCCGCCCCGCCCCGCCCTGCCACGCCCTGCCACGCCCTGCCTCGCCGCGGCGTGGTGGCGGCGGCCGGCGGGATGTGGGATGGATTTAGCTGGCAGTGAACTAGACCCTACACTCCCACCAAGACGCCTCCGCGGCCGCCCTGCCCTGCGCCTCCTGCGCCCTGCCGCTGCGCCGTGCCGCCGTGCCGCTGGACGGCGTGCGAGCCGCGCCGAGCCGCGCTGTCCAGCGTCCAGCCGCGGGCGTCGCGTCGCGTCGTCGCGGTGCTGGCGACGTACCGCGTCCCGCCCGCTGTTGTTGCGTGGTGTCCTGCTACTTCCGGTCAGGACCGCCGCTCCCCGCCGCGCCACGCCACGCCTCGGCGTCGCGACGCTGCCGCCGCTGCCGCGCCGGGGGCACTTTGGGCCGAACGGGCGAACGCCGCGCGGCCCGGTCGGTACATATGGATGAGCCGAGCTAGACTTTGGTTTCGTTTTACATGTCGTCGTTTTGTCGCGTTTTGACCTACAAGTCGCTACTCTGTTGGTCATTTCGGTGCGCGCGTTATCAAGCTCAATTATCTCTGCAGCCCACCACCGGATGTGCACCGCTGGCCCGGCTGGCTGGCAGGTGGGGAAGGGGAGGGGGCGTCGTCTCAGCGAGCCTTCGCAGTGCTTCGCAGTGCTTTGCAGTGCTGTGCACACCGGACTGGACTGTGCCCGGCTGGCCGCCGATGTCGTGCCGCCGCGACGCCGCGACCCTCGGACGCTGCTCAGCTGGGCCGCGACGCTGACGTCGTCGCGGTGACCGCGACGACGTGGACGACGTGGACGCGGTGGCGTGACGGACGCCGACGACGACGTTGTCATGACAACGCCGTCCCGGACGTGCGGAATGGACCGGGCCGTGGCACTCCCCGCGTCCCAACCCACACTCGGTCCCCTGACGCCCTGACCCACTGAGTCCTCTCGCCGCGTCCACACGTTTGGCGCCATCCTTCCCCACAGTGGCGCCCTCTGTCCCTCCGATTGCCTTTCGTGTTAACGCGCCCGGCCTGCCAGCCCCTCGGCGTCTTTCTCTTTCTCTCTCTCGCTCTATTTTTAGGCGGCTGCGTGGCTGCTGGGTGAAGGGGGTATCGAACCTCGGTGCCGGTGGCGGGGCCCCAGGCCTGCCCCAGGCCGCAGCAGCAGTGGCGGTCCCCCAGGATGGCGCGTCGCTTGGGCCTGGATAGCCTGGAGCGAGGGGGGCTGCGGCAGTGGCGTAGCCAGGCGCCTCGCAGGCACCGCCCCCTGGCTGACTCCGAACGGTCTGTCTCTCTCTCACGCCCAACGAGTGCGAGCGAGATCCCTCCCACTCTGCCTGCGGCGCCGCCGTGCGTGGCCGTTTAATGGATTGAAAGGGTGGCTGGCTCGGCCGGCGCGGCTGGCATGGCAGTGCCCCCTGCTCATATGCATGCCTGACAGCGTTTGCGGCGTCCCCCCCGCGCCGGCCAAGCCAGTTGCGTGAGGGGGGGCTCGGGGTGAGGCCCGGGGCCCGGGTGGAGGGTTTAGCAGCTACGCAAGCCCCCACATCCATCGCGGCCCCGGCCCTTCCAGCACGTGCACCTGCACCGCGCCGAGCCACGCCCGGCTGCGTGCGGGGGGGCTTCCCCCCTGCGTGGCTGGAGGCCCGCTGGAGGCCCGCTGGAGGCGCTTCGGACGCAGCTGGACGCAACGCCTCGTCACACCTCCACTCGCAGGCCAGCGGGCCGATTCCGAGCACGAGATCTCTCTCTCGCTCTCACGGGGCGCCCCGTGTGGGTGCGAGAGAGACAGGCCGACGGGACCCGCCCCTCGGAATCGGCCCGAGGCCGGCAGGCAGGCCCAGCCAGGGGCGCCATGCCGCGAGGCTCGCGAGGCGCGGCCCGTGGCGCTCCCATTCCGGCTGCAACGAGTGCCGGGGAAGGTGGTGGCCGCGGACCCTGGTTCGAACCCCGGCCGGTGTAGTGCAGTGTGGTGGCGCCGCGGTGACGTCACACAGGGTGAGTCAGAGGGTGGCCGCCGAGGGGACGCCGTGGGGACGCCGCGCTCCACTCCGCAGTCGCGGCGCCGGCTTCGATCCCCGCGGCCGAATCCCGTGCGCGCCGCCGTCGTGGGCTCGACTTGCGACTCGCGCCACGTGGACGGCGAGGACGGCGTGGACGGCGAGGACGGCGTGGACGGCGTGACGGCGAGACGGCGTGGTCACGTGACGAGAGCGGTGCGTGCGGCGATGGTGCGGCTGGAGCGCCCTCTAGAAGGCGAGTGGTGTGTCAACGTGGTGGTGCAGTAGAGGCGCCGGTTCGTTCGATAAGGCAACGACTGCGACCGGGCCGACCGGGCACTCCCACGCCCCGTCCCGTCCCGTCCCCCCGCGCAGCCAGTGTGTGTACCAACAGTGCAGTGGCAGTGCCTTTTTGGCGCGGTGCGGAGTGGTTCCAGCGGCTTCCAGTGCGTTTCGGAGCGGCTCCAGCGCGGTTCGGCGTTGTTCCAGCAGCACCCTGCCCGCCCTGCCGCGCTCTCTTGCGGCCCGTCGCGCTCGGCCGCCCCCGCCGCGCCAAGTGCAGCACCGCCATCTGGAGCAGTGCGAGCGAGAGAGAGGGGGAGAGGGAGAGAGGGAGAGGGAGAGAGGCGGCGTGTTTGGCACGCAGCCCGCCACGCGTCACGCTCAGCCAACCCTCGCCGCGGCGCGCACCGCACCGCACCGCACCGCGCCCGTTGCCGAACGCGTCCGAGTTAGTTGTCCCAGTGACACTCGACACGGCGGATGTAATGGAAAATGGTAATGAGGGTAAATGAGCGTGGGCAAGCCGCGCACAGTGTACTACACGCGACCGTTACCTGGCTCGAGTCGAGTCCGACCACTAATCGAACAATCGAACGCGTCGACCTCGGGGCGGCGGTGCCGAGGGCGCCGTGTCGTCGCCCCGTCTCTCGCGCCAGGGAGAAGGGCACCCTTCCCTCATGCTCGCGCCTCGACGGCCGGACGCTTCATGAGTGCGAGAGAGACGAGAAGCACGCGCGGGTCCCGCGGTTCGAGGTTCGATCCTCTCGGCGCTCGGTGACAGCGAGACTGCTTTTATCTATCGTCGCGCATACGAGACGGGCGTGTGACGCAACAAGCAAACTTTGTGTTTGCACTCATGATGCATGCGAAGTGTCCCGAACGCCTCGCCGTCCCGGCACACTGGGGGTTCTCCCGCGCGAGGCTTGACGAGGTGTCGAAGTGGAAGCGAGTCAAGTTACGGACCCCTGCTGGCTCAGTGGTCGTGGTCACCTCGTGGTCACCTCATTGGGTCCGTTGGGGCGTGCTGGGCTCGGTGCTGGATGGATGCCCGGGCGCCGGGATGGCCCTGCATGGGCGCGCGGATGGCCCTGGACGACCCTAAATGGCCCAGCCGGCCCTGGAGTGCCCTGGAGAGGCGTGTGTCTAGGGTGGCCCTCGGCTTGCTGGCCCAGGCTTTGCATGATTGATTTCGCCAGGAAAGTCCAGCCCTCCAGCCGCGCGCCCTCCCGCCCTTCGCCACCCACTGGAGCCGCGACGGCCGCTGGAGCCGCCGCTGGAGCCCGCGCTTCACCCCGCGGCCCTGTATGCGGCTCCACCCTCTCGCTGCACGCGTGCACGAGGTGCTACGGGTCTACGCGGTGCTACGCGGTGCTACGCGGTGCTACGCGGTGCTACGCGGTGCTACGCGGTGCTACGCCCCGCGATGCATACGCGAGCCTGCTAGCTCTAAGCGGCTGCTACCAGCTGTGGCTAGCGACTCTATCAGACTCTATAAACGCTGTAGTCACTTTGCGCTCTTAGCGCGGATCTCGAAAGATCCCTACACGTGTGCTACGCGGTGCTACGCGTTGCTGCGACCGCCTCCCCCTCCAGCGCGGCGCAAAGCGAGCTTGATTGAAAGTGGCACACACGACCGCCGGCTCAATAATGAAGTGGCAGACTTGATGACCTCACCTGTGGCACCTGCGACTCGTCTGCGACCTGGCGGCCCAGGCCCGGGCCGTGGACGGACGGCCTGTGGCCAGCCTGGGCGGGGCGGGGCGTGGCGGCCCTGGCAAGGGCGGGGCCCCGCTGGGGGTGGCTGGGTGGGGCGGCTTGTCAGGCAAATGGGGCGCCGCTCGCTCGCATTAGAGATGCCCCTCCGTCACGCGTGGCGACTCGCTGCTTTGAACAGTGGCGCGGTGCGCCCTCTCTCGTGGAGCGGAGCGAGTGCTGCCAGTCCACTAGAAAAAAGAGCGTCGCTCTGTCTCTCTCGCACTCGTGGGGCGTCGCGCACAGGTGCGAGAGAGACGGAGCGACTCTCGGAATGAGTCTGCTGGACCCCGTGCTGGGCCTCCGCTCCGCGCTCTGCTCGGCCCCGAGGCCCGACCTAGCGGTGACTCACATGCCGCGGCAATTTGGAGGCCCCCACCCGTCCCTCCGTTCCCACCCACTGGACACTCCAGTTCCTTCCAGGACGTCCAGGCGGCCCCTTCCAGAGTGGACCCAAACCAAGTCCAGGACCGCGGCGGCCCCTCCGGACCCCAACGCGAGCCTCCGGCGTCCCCGGCTGCTCCGGGTGCCGCGGTACCCGTCGGGCCTTCCATTGATCGCGGCGCCGGGAGGCCGTGAGTCCGTGACGTCACCCCTGTGGTACGACATGACCGCCGCGGTCTCGGCGAGACGACGACGGCGTGGTGGCGGCGACGACGCCGAGCTCATCGCGTGTCTGTCGGCGTTACGCCGCCGGGGGTGGTTCCCGGCGGCTCCGCCCCG